CACCTCAGACAGCACCAGACAGAATCAGCAGTTGAAGAAGAGTTTATTGGGGATGAGGAAACACATGCACACAACAGACACACAGGGAGAGGTGAGGGATGACAGAGGGACACAGGACTCCTAAAGCTGAAAAATCCACTCTCTTCTTGAGGGCTCTGTTTTTAAAGTCTCTGACATGTTTTCCTCCCCTAATTTAGGGTTTGTCAAGTTAAAGAAAGTTAGGGCAGTTAATTGGCTCAGAACTGTTGTGTGACAGTTCCTGATCCTGCCTGTAACTCCTTGAGCTAGTCCGTCAGCAGGGGGCCTGCCAGTCGGAGATAAAAGCCAACAAGGCCTTTGTTTTAAACTACTAGGCTTTTGTCTCAAGGCAGGAGGGTGAGGAAGAAGCTGGCCATATTTGGAATTCATTACCTTTATTAGCCAGCCACATCCCTCTCTCTGTCTGCCTACCAGGGAGTCTGCCTACCTCCCAGTCTCTCACAGATTTCTGGTCCTACTGGTGCAGCAATCTAAGCATGACAAGCCTGGGTGGTTGTGTTGTGGACCGTGTAGGTGAGGTGCCTGCCACCTGCTGCCTTGGACGCTTCGTTGACCGGGATCTGAATGGGGCTTTGCCCCTAAAACAGGAAAGCACTTAGCTGTCCTAGCCTTGTTTATGTGAACTGTGCCTGGCAGGAGATCATTCATCTAACACCCTTGGACCGTGATGCTCTAGCTCAGTTTCCTACCTGGTCTGTCTTCCTGCTCTGCTAGGGGAGGAACTGCTTCCTTAGACTGAAGCCTTTCCCTGCCCCACAGATCTTTGCTGTCACTTTCCAGGGATCTGCACAACGGGCTTAAAGTCAAAGTCAAGGTCTTTTCCAACCCAGCTCTGCCAGGCTACGTGGGATAGTTTGACTGTTATCGAGGTTGCTTAGCGCAGATGAGGTTTTCTTATTTGTCTTCCTCTAAGACTTTGAAGCCCTCAGTTACGTGGGCAAGGAGACAGTGGTAACAGGAGGATTCTATTGATTGCAAGGCTCATTAAGAAAGGGCTTCAGTGGCACAGCGGCTCTGCCAGCTCTTTGGCAGTATGACCTTGACTTACAAATACAACCCGGGTCACAGTTTCCATATGTAAAATGTAAACAGTAGCTTACACCCTTCTTACAAAACTTACAGGTAAATTAATGACATACCTCTTGGGAAGCACATTTTGGAGTACACAGAGCACAAAGTAAGTTCTTGGCACATGCAAGGCACCGCATACCCCCATAACCACTGTGCTGCCCTCAAACACTTCTATGTGTCTTGTTTTTGTAACCTTTATGTACTGGAACTTAATGCTAACTCCCAAGCCACAGGATTTTCTCAGGCTTAGTATCTGAGAGTCCTGTGGGAGTCCTTCTGAGCTCTAGTTCCTTGGGACAGGCTTGGCCATGGGGTTTCTGTGAAATTTAGCTCTAGACACTAGATGTTCTGGGACATGTGGGGCAGGGCATTAGGCAATAGGGGGCATTTTGATCAAGGGCCATTTAAATCAGGTGACTCAGAGCCGCTCATAGAGGTAAAGGAGCCCTAGGTTATCACCCTGTCTCTGCGGGACCAGAACCACAGATAGTTTGGCTGCCATTGTGACTGAAGGGTGTATTTATGCATTCATTCAATGGATATTTGTTGTGTCTGGACCACCAGTGTCAGATACTAGGTATCGAGAAGCTAATGAGGTAGATATGGTATGTAAGATGCTGAGGCTAGGAGAGGAAAGAAGGCACCCTACCTCACAGCAGTTTTCCTTCTCACACAACTGTTGGCTCCCCAAATGACCAGCGAAACAGAGAATGTAAATCTTTCATCCCAGCAAACCTGGAGAGAGAGAGAGGCAGCTTTTCCTTTAGTGCTGGCAGCCGTGCAGACGGAAGATCTTCTTCCTAACTCCACTACAAACCATTAAGCATTCAGAGCTCTGGCTAGTGTTCAGGATGGAACAGGTACTTGGCCAAGGAGCCTTGATCTTTTCCTGATAAGGCAGTGATTTGTGGAAGCAGCTGGTTACTGACCTAAAGAGGAGTGTAGGGAGGAGGAGGCAGCCCGAGGGAACAAAAGGGAGTAAAAGCCATGGCGAGAAAGTCGGGTTGAGAGGGGATCAAAGAGATACAGACTTGGCATTTACATATCATTTAAATAGCATGAATTTCACATCAGAACATATGTGCTCCTCCCTGACAGCTATGCTAAACCAGCCTTGGGACACTTCAGGTCCGAATTCTGGGGCTCAGGCCCTGGCACAGCTACTGCAGGACAGATTCGTAGAAAGAGACGTCTGGCGGGGTAGGGTAGGCCGTGGTGGGCAAAGTCTGGCCTGGCTCTGTGGCAGGCACTAACACGCTGCTGGGTGAGTTCCTTTCTTCTTGTGACACGAAGATACACAGGACAAGAGCATTCGGAGCTCCAGACGGTTTTTTTTTTAAATAAAAGAAATAATTCTGGGAAAGTATTTTTTTTTCCATCCTGGACATTGGAGACACGATGAAGTCATCTCAGGCTAGGACAGGGCGGTAGTTTTAATTCTGGGGTCTTGTGGATAGCTACGGACACTTTCTACAGAAAAATGGCTGTAATATGTCATGTCACATGTGTTTTTTAGAGGTTTCAAGTCTTCTGGGGTTAATTTGGGTTAGGTTAGGAATCCTTAGAATAGAAGAAGGTGGCAGGTATGCGTGCACGTGCGCACACACACACACACACACTCACACACACACAGCATGTGTATAGGGCACAGATTGATCTAAGTGTCTTCCTTCATCACTCCCCATTTTATTGTTAGAGCAAGGTCTTTCACTAAATCTGGAGCTCATCCATTTGGCTAGACTATCTAGCCAATGAGCTCCAGGCATCTACCTGCCCCTGTCTCCCACCCCTGGGATTACATTTGTGCATGCCCCATTGTTCAGCTTTTACATGTGTGCTGCGTATTCAAGTCTGCAGCAGGCACTTTACCCACTGAAGCATTTCCCCAGCTCCAAATCCTTCAACTTTATGTCCCATAGCCCTCAGTATCCTGCCCTGTGTGGGTCTTTACAGCATGGAATTTTGGGAGAAGATATATTCATACATTTTTTTTAATTGACGTTTTATGATTTACCAGATGCTCATTTAATCTTCACAAGACTGGGAAGGTTCATGGCTCCTTTTGTAGATGTGTAGAAACTGAGGCTCAGAGAGAATATATTATCATGTCCCAGTGTCTCAGCTTCTGAGGGACGATCAGAGACTAAAACCGCAGCCTTTTGCCCTGTTCTCGTTCACAAGGGCAGGAGGGACCATTTTGTTTCTCAGTTGGGCCTGTGCAATGTTGCTTCTCCCTGCTCAGACCTGGCCCTGAACTACATGGGATCTCTCCCTAGTATTCCACCCCGTCACCATCCATGCCTCTTTGAATTGGGGGTTACTGGTGGACACAGTCCAGGGCTCCAGGCCTCTGTGGTGGAGAGAAAACAGGACAGGGGCTCCAGGCCAGGCAGAGACCGTCCAGCATGCTCAATTGGCTGGGGAGGCCTACCTGGGGCTATCTGAGCGTTCATTCCATCTCCAAGTAGAAAGACTACTGGGGACCTTGCTGTTTCCGTTCTCACCCATAAAAACTTTTTCTTCCTTCCCCACTCGCTTCCCCTAACAAGCCCCAAGCAGTCAGAGACAGGCAAACATCTCCGCAGCTGCTACCCTTCAGCCCCTTGGAGTCAGGAATTCCATATCTAGTAGAGTAGACTAACAAGAGGGCTAGCCTGGGAACCTGACTCCATTCCCCACTTCTTAGGAAAGGAGATTCATCCTGTTGGTCAGAACGGTCTGCTCTGCAGAGGTCTAGAGATCTTGCAAGTCTCTGATGCCACAAAAAAAAAAAATACTCACTGGTGGGGTCAGCAGCAAATTAATGCACTTTTTCCCCATCTTCTTCCTTGTGACCTCAGTGCCTGCTGCCCAGAAACACACCTTTCTGCAGGTGAGATCAGGATGTGAGCTGGGGGTAGACTGGAGGGAAGGCTTGGCCTGTTTCCTAGGGACAGAGCATGGCAGACTGTCGGGAGGAGAAACTGGGGTCTGGAATGGGATACCTGGGCAGGACGAAGGATGGGTGCTGGGTGAAATAGGTTGCACTTGCTGGTAGCTAAGGACAAGGACCTTGCTTTGGCAGCTTCTGAGTCACTGGAAAGCTGGGAAGTCCAGTTCTGGATGCACTTAGCCCCGAAAGGCAAGAAGACACATGTGTCTCAGCAATATGTGTCAGAATTTTCTCCAAGGGATACCTCGTCGAGCTAGAGAACCAGGATACCTCTGTCCTTTTAAATTTTATTTTTGGGACAGGGTGTTATGTACTCTGGGCTATCCTCAAACTCAGTATGTACCTAAAGACGGCCCTGGGTTTCTGATCCTCCTGCCTCTGCCTTCATATTGCTGAGATGAGATTATAGGCATGGACCTCCATGCTCGGTTTATGCAGTGCTGAGAACTGGACTCAGGGTCGTGTGTGTGGTAAACAAGTGCTCTATCACCTGAGCTACAGTGTCATAGATATTTGTTGAGAGGCCAAAGGAGGCAGTACCATTTGAGAGCTGAGAATCTAGTTGGTCCAGACTCCATGGCACCTGCAGTCATGAGAAGCGAGTTTGGGTCTGAAGACAACAGGGCTGGCAAAGGTGAACGAAGGAGTTAAATGAACCCTTGGCTGCCCTGGGACTCTGTACTCGAGTCCCCCTTTCCGTACATTCTCCAGTTATGTGTAAGATGCTGATGTAATGGCGGAGATCCCAAACGCATTTCTGCTTTCCCCATGTCCCACAGTGTCTGCATGGGATTTGCAGGCAACGGCAAATGGGCATATAGCCAAGGTGGTCTCTGATGCATTACCACAAATGGGCAGTCCTGGGATGATGAGCCTTCATAGCTGCAGACAATGGAGAGTAAGGCACATTTTTATTTTCTAAAGACAACAATCCAAACAGGAATGAGGTCAGAAAGCATTGGTGTCTGTCAAAAATTTTATTTTTGTCATTTCACACAGAATGATGGTAAAATAAATCCTCAGTAATATATATTTATATACTTATTTACTTGTGTCGATATTTACAAAAGACTGTGGAGCTCTATGAAGTCTATGTACACCCATGATAAGGTGAACAGGCAATGTTCATTGAGGCACATATGTACACATATATGTATAATCTATGTACATACATCAGACCCTACTGACACAGGGACTCTCAGCTGCAGAAGTCCTGGGTGGGGGCAGTGTTGGTGGGACTGAAAGCTTCCAGACTATGTCAGCAAGAAAGCTAACATCTATACATCCTGTGCAATGCAGTTACAGCTGGTGTCTAAATTTTCATGAAGCAAACAAATAGTTAAATGACTTCCAACTCCCATGAGTCCTCCTCACAAGTCCTGCTCCGCCTTCAGCTCTCATTGGTTCTCTGTCTCTTATCACCATGGAGACCCAAGTTCCCTTTCAGCATCATCCTTAGGAAGCTTTGCCATCAGCCTTGGAGTTCCTTTTCCTATTGATCCCAGAGAGGCTTATTTATCTTCCTCTCCTCTTTGAGTTTTTGGTGATTTTTTTTTTTTTTTTAGAGACAGGACATGGGAGAGCAGCTGCAGAGTCATGCATGAGCAGCAAAGAAGCCAGTGGAAACCCTAATTAGTCTACGCTGCATGAGCCTATTTCCACACTGTGTGTATAAATATACACACATATATTTATACACACACGTATATAATATATATAATATATTATATATAGATATGTTCTCCAGAGACAGCCTATATAATAAGCCCATAAGCACGCAACAACCCCCCACTTAAGAGCTTTACAGCTCTGTCTGTAATGGAAACAAGAGAATCCTTCTTGCTTGCTGGCACCATTAACCCTGGCTGTTCCAAGATCACCCTCAGTGGGAGAGAGGGGTTCATGGATGCAGAAACCCAGGAAGAGGCCAATTTGGCTGGGGCATTGTTTGCCCAGCAGGGCTGGAGATCAGTCATGGGACTTTCCAGCTTCCTGGAGCCCTTCAAATGAAGGAACCATCCAAGCACGACAACAAAAAGAAACTGGGTCGCTGGCTCCCACGTGAAGGCAGAACTGGGGCAAGCACGGAGCATGTTCAAACTCTCAGGAGCTGAGACTCACCCTTGCCAAAGCCACCCAGACCTTGCTTCTTGCTTCCCTATCCAGTGAATAGCTGCGAACTCGTGTGCTCCCTTCTAGCCTCGCCTGGCAGGCCAAAGTGTCTGCCCTTCGCTTCGTAAGTTCAGAAGCCAGTCACGCTAGCAGCTAATATGGAAACTGTCTGCTAGCGAAGCATGCCCCTGAACAGTCTCTTCCCTAAGCTCCTCCTTTGCTTTCTCTGCAGTTCCAAGTGTTTACGCAGTCAGACAAGCAAGGCAGCAGTGTCTAGGGAGTCGTTTTCAAGGAGAAGCAGGGCTCGGAGGCCTCTCACAAGGACCCAGAGACACAGCGTGGAGTCCTCTGGGTAGCTACCTAAGGTTCCATGACCCAGCCGTTTCTCTACTCCCCTTCATTATGGAGCCGATGCAGCAGCTGTTCACAGTATTATGTAATCACACCTGCACTAGGCATCCGTCAGTGGAATGATGCAAGGACTTCTTAGCCGGAGGGGAGGGGACCATTTAGACAGGGCAATGGCAGCACTCTCCAGTTGGTCATGCTAAGTCAAGGCTAAAGGCTTCCACTCCTGGATGATGGCTCACTTGACCAGACTGCCGAGCTTCTGGGAAGGCGGGCAGATGACAGCCACCCCTGTATCACCTTCAGATACTAGTGAGGAATCCCTCCCACCCACCTCCAAGTAGAGTGCACTCAGTTTAATGCAGAGATGAGGCTGAGAAAAGTGTTTCCCTGGGAGTTTAACATTGCCAGACAGGATAGCAAGGAGGGCATGTTTAGGCTTCTACCCAGAAGTTTCTTGAATGGTGTATACAGCTCATCCCCCAAGAAGACAAGTGGGTCTTAGTTGCTCTAGGCCTGGCCCTCTGTTTACACTAAGCGGACTCAACTGCATACCGGGTTCGTTTCACCAACGACCACAAAGCCCATATTTTTCATTCTTCACTGACGTTAAGTCAGAACTCAAGAAATCCAAGCCTAGGACTCTAACACCGACCGAGAGAAAACTAGAGACCAGCCCTGTGCCAAGTCTCAGAATATTCCACTCCCCTAGAGCTACAAAGTTGGGCATAACTTTTCTGGTCTTGAGGGATGAGGTTACAGCCAAACAAGGCAGGCAGAAAAAAGGAAAAGAAAGCACCTGGTCCTGGGATCACACTTCCCTTTGATCCTTGAGTCAGGCAGCCACCTGGCAGGGAAGGGAAAGAGGCAACCCTGAGCCTGTCCTTTTGTTTGAAGAAATGCCTTCTAGATAGTTTCTTAAGCACAAAAAGCACAGAGCTGGAGAGGCGGAAAGAATGCAAAAAAAAGGTCACATTAAAATTCAAGTAAACGCAGCTTATTCCTTAGAATGCCAAATTTATTCCACACTAGTGAAACTGAGATTGGTCAACATCTATTTGTGTAATTTTCTGAAATAAATGGCATACATATATACATACACTATACATATATACACACAGGTATATGTATATATGGGAAACCTCTTAATAACTCAGGACCAATTAACTAAACTCTTTATTGACAGGAATTATGTTGTCTTTCTATACTTTTAGGAAGAGGCAAACAGCGCATCTGATAAGCTATAATGTGCCCACATCTATTTTGCAGCCAGCATTATTTAGCCTGTTTCTTTGGTCTGCTTCACCTTCGTTTTCATACACCAAGCACTGAGGTTTAGAAGGTTGACGCTGAGCCATGCAAGGTCTTCTGTCTTCTCAAAACGCTCTACTTAACTAAGGCAAGAGTTTACCCTAACCTATTTTGGAAATACCACTTTCCAATCACAAAAGCCGAACCACACATTTTCCCATCTCCCCTCAAATAACCAGATTGCAAAGCATTTAGGACACTCTCCTCCCTGAGATTCCCCAAGGTCAGGCTATACAAGGATGTGTGGAGCAAAGTAAACTGAGAAGGAATGGAAAGGGCTCCCGGGGTCGCCAGCCTTCCCTGAGTCCAGTCTGAATGGTAATAGCTCGCCTCACAGATGTTTCAAGAAAGGGATCCCTTTCAAAGCCCTGGGTGATGTGTGAAATATTTGCACAGTTGCACCCTGTAGTGGCAAGTGGGGTTTATTTCACTAATGCTACTCCCTGACCACCCACACCTCTGTGCCTGTCCACCTCCCTTCAAAGCCATAAGACTCACTTTGCTCTGAAGCGCTGATAAAGTCTATACGGTTGAGCAAGTCAGTCTATTGTGAAGGAGAGTCAGAGGGCAATCCCCAAATCTGCCCAAGTAACTGATCCCAGGTGTACACCTCAGGGCTACATTTCATATTCATCTCCCTGGAGAGGCTGCAAAAGAATCAAGTAATGGCTTTTTCTGCACGGAAAGGATCTTCTATAATGGCTCAGGATGCTTTATTCTTATCTATCAGTAAGCGCTCTCTTATAGGCTTCCATTATACCTGACAGACAACACAAAGTCAACAAGATGGGCTGGCATGAGGTCACTCAAACGCAAAGGTTTCGGTGCCTAGATGTCTCTAGGGTGCTGTGAAAGAACAGGTAGGAAGGAGAGGCAGTGGAAGAGGGGCACAGAGACACATATCGAGAGAGATGCACACAGAAAAGAGCCCGAAAGACGACAAAAGAAGGCCTTCTCACAGGCCTTCCTTGGGGGAACACTGCATCTCTGTGTACTCGTTCACTGCAGAAGGAGGTCAGACCTCAGCAGACAGGAATCATTCATGGGATGAAGTGGGAAGAACTACAGAAACTGGGAACAAATGTCCAGAGGTCAAGGGCGTTATCTGGTGGTCTATGTACTATCTATCACTTTTCAGTCCTGAGAGCAAGATTTTGAAAGAGCTATTGCTAAAGGAAACAGTCACTATTGCTTTTATTGCACATTTCCTCTTTAAAAACATTAGACACAAACTATGAGGGATGGAGCTGAGTTCCGGGGGAAGGGGGACAGAAAGAGAGGCAAAGTGGACTAGGTTAGTTGAGGTGCTTGTAATGGATTCTCTTACCCCTCCTGTCCTTCCCTGCTTTCTGCTCCATGGAGGTTGGGGGGGGGTCTCAACAAGGGCCAAGACTGAGGGTACAGATGACAGTCACACTAACTATGAAGACAGCTTCCAGCATGTATCTCCTGCTGGTTGACTCGAGTGGCCAGGGATGTTGGTGAACTAAGGTCATGAATTTGAACCTGAACAATGGAAACTTTATCAAGGTAAAAGGGACTTCTATTGTGTAGCCAGAAATAGTAGCCTAGACATCAGACCCCTTTCAGGCCAGGTAGCCATCCCATCCGCCACACTCAGATTGTTACGGCAGGGGAATAGGGGGCCACAGGAGAGCTCTGGGGTCCTCCTCCTTCCTAGGTTAGCAGGTCAGAGCACTGTGCACTCTTTATGACCTTCACATGCCCTTGTACTTCCTCTAGCTTTCTCTGGGGAAGATCAGTTTCCACCTCCTTTCCATGTCTGTGACTGGCACTGAGCTCCCAGGCGGAGGATCCTTAGAAGAGCCATCTTTTCTCACCAAGACTTGACAATCATACACCACTGAAGTTCCAGAAAGGCATAGAGTCTTAACTAAATAAAATTAAATTTATTTAACCAATGAAAACTTGGTTCTTGATAAACTTACTTAGAAAGTCAACTGCTCAGTTATTTTCTCTTTCCTGACAATTTCTCTGCCTTTCCTTGACTCCTTCCTTCCCAACCTCCCAGAAACTCCAACTTTTAAAATGTCCAAGGCCACAGAGCATCTCACAAAGTTAGGGTGGAAATTGGTATCTCGCTTTGGAAACACAAGTTCCAGTGTACAAGTTTTGGACCACATGCTCATTTTCTGCTCTTGTTGTCTCCTCTCTGGAACCTTGAAGGGAGTGCTAATAAACCTGGAACCGTAGAAGTTGATCCAAGGCTACATAAAACCTTTGCCAAAAAGTACTCAGGCCCTACCTGGTCCTACGAGCAGAAAGAACAGTAGTACCTGGGGCTCTATGATGGTGGGTAATCTTACAAAGTGTTTAAATCTAGTGTTAGAATAGAGGATAGAAATCAGGTCCTCAAAAGATTGCTAACGCTCTTTTAGCCATGATTTAGCGTCCTTCGTCACATTTTACTTCAGCTAAATTGGTCTGCAGGTTTGTCAAGGCACCACAATTGAATGGGAGGTCAGGCTTCCCTGGGAGCCCTGGTGGGGAAGCATGCCTAGACTGAACACTCAGAGATGGTGATCAAGAGTTGACTTATTAAATTTGTGCCCAAGGGTGAGTGAAATGCCATGAGCAAGAAAAGGAGTCTCATTTTAGGAGCTAAGTCTATATAGGGAATCAAGTTTCTGACATGGCTCCAGACAAAGAGGTACTTTGGAAGGCTGGGTAATAAGATCTTTTGGCTCAAAGAATGTTGGGGTATTTCAACCTGGCTTAGGGTCCAGAACCCTATAGTTTCTTGAGCCATCACTGCTTCAAGAGAATAGGGATAAACCTGGAGATTGTGGATACTTGGAGGGGAGACTGAGTCATCTGTGTGGATTTTCTCTGAAAGAAAAGGTACATCATGGAAGCCCATATTAGGTTGCTAAGTTCTTGCAGGTCATTTCGCACACCCTGCACTCTGAGTGCTGTTTGAAAGAAGGTGAATGGTAGCAAACCCAGGAGATTTCAGTGCTTGATGTAGTGGCCCATCTTTCTGCTTGAAACCTCAGGAATCCTGTCTCAGGAAGGAGGCTGGATGTCAAAGAAGAGACTCCTTGGAGAATGTTGAGGGTTATTGATATAGGCAAGGAAAAGCAATTAAATCTGATCCCTTGCCTTTGTCCATCAAATTTTAGATGTGGAAGTGTATGCATGATTAGTGATTCAATGTCTAAATTTTGTGTGTATTGTTGGGCATGGGTACTGCTTTTTGTGTGTATCTCGTATAACTCTGTGCACTATGTATACATGCTGAGCTCGTATGCAGAAACAATGACAAAGCATCATTTATGCATTTTGATGTATATCCATTGTCCCCCAGTTGGATTTGTATATTTTGCATATGAGTTGTATGCTGTGTGTTTGCACACAGGTTAAATATCTCTCTTGCAGATATTCTGTGTTGGTATGCACATTCTATATTTGGGCGACGTGTTTGTTTTGTATATCTCTTATTTGTATACTGTTTATATTATTTTGGCCTATGGGTATTTTGCATATATGTTGCATATTTTATATTTTTGTGTGACAATGATGTATCATTTATTTTATGATGCACATGTGCGCACATTTTATGGTTCCCAGGCCAAGGATTTTGTGAATAGGTAACTTTCCCCTACCTAGACTTTTGTATGGGTTTCTTTAACTTTCTACCCTCCAGTATGTCCCTCCCACCCCACGTTATGAAGCACCACCTCCCACAAAGGAGAAAAAAAGCACAGAGGCTTTGTGTCTGGCATGGGATACTCTGGGGATGTGGGTGACCAGGACTAATGAGCACCCTGGACTAGCACCCCTAAGACAACTGTAGGTACCAACTAGTGAACAGTGATGCCTGGGCTGGAATCAATACTGAACAGTCTGATTATGATTCACTGTGTTTGGGGAATTTAAGCCACTGTGTCAAAAGGCAAAGAAACCTAGCATGAAGAGGCACAAGCTGTCCCCCACTTCCTAAGGCCAATACATTCTCTACATTGAGGCTCTACAGCGTTCATTTATTCTTTACCTGTTCTTGGGGTGGGGGTAATTCCTTTATTATTATTATTTAATTGAAATTTTATGTACCAATCTCAGCTCCTACTTTCTTCCTTTCTCCTGCTCCCTTCATCTTCCCCCTTCACCCCCATCCATTCCTCAGAGAGGGTAAGGCTTCCCATGGGGAGTCAATAAAATCTAGCACATCTCTTTGAGGCGGGACAACTCTCATTTTTTAAAGGGCAGCTCTTATTACCAGTGTGCTAGGGAGAGAGTTTGAGTTAAGTAATGAAAAGGATGCTTTGGGCTGTGTAGGGAATCCATCCCTTGGCTCCAGAATCTGGAAATTTCCACCAATAGGAGGCTTCCTTTACGTCTAGATCAGCAGAATCTGGTCCCAAGGACCAAAGCAGAGGATCCATCCTAGGGACAGGTTCATGAAAATGATGGATGCAGAGGCAAATGAGAGAGAATCAAATGGGAGAGAGGATAATAGTGGAAATGGTTAATGGGATGAGTTGTAGAGAGGCCTGGGGTGGGCTTGACCCAGGATAGCTGGAGCTGTGAGGGCTCTAGGACCCTTGTGCACTGCACTCAGTAAGACAAGCTTCAGCCATGGGAAACTGAAGCTGCAGCACATGGAGGGCAGAAAGACAATTCTAATGTCTAGGAATCCATGAACACTGGAGTGTGTCTGAGGCAATGACAGCAAACCCAGGTTCAGTGGGTTTTAACATACCCATTGGGCTTCTTATACAACCAACCCACCAAGCAATGGATTTGCTCCTGAATCTGCACTCCAGAGAATGAATATATATATATATATATGTGTATGTGTGTGTGTATAATGTACATATACACACACTTGTGTATGTATATATATATATTCTAGTGCACATAGTCAAACACATGCATAAATTGCCCTGTGTCAAAATATTGCATAAGCTTATACAATGTTCAAATGCAATTTTTCTATAGCTTACTAGAGGAACACATGAGGGAGAAAGATAGATAGCTGATATATATTTATGTACACTGAACCCACAGATCTGCCTGTCCTCAGGAGCAATGTCCTGGTAAGGATTGTAGCCATACCCATGACTGGATTAATTCCCACTGTTCAGTCACGTGAGTGCTTAGACTCTGACTTTTCTGTTCATTCTCCTGGTGTGGCAGAGTCTTTGCTCCCATTGAAAGAACAGAGGTGGATGGGCTGGGGGGCCAGCCAGAAGTTTTGGTTCCCCATTCCAAATAGTCTATTTGCTTTTCCCTGATGGAGGGCTTTTGCCTTCTGATGGGGAAAAAAAGCCTAGTTCAGTACCATCCCAAGGCTATTAATACTCTACGTATGAATACTGTATAGGCTACTAGGAAGATAAGTTATCCTCTGTGTTTTAAATATTGAGATTCATGCAGTGAACACCCATGCAGCTCTATTGCATGACTGGTCTACTCCACTGCACTGTAGTGGAGCAGGCCCACACCATCGGGAAAGCAGATGTCTGTAAACGCCAGAGTAAGAGAAGAAATTGAACATGTTCTGTGACCCTGAAGCTTGCGAAAACAGTATCTGAAGTTGAGAAGTCCCTGAATTCGGTAGCTTCTCCCCATAGGCCTAAGGGAACAAATATAAAACTTGACAACTCATATTTGGTCATGTTAATTGTCCCTCCCCCACCCCCTGGGCTTCCCCCACGTCAACACTGCAGAGAAAAAGCAGAATGCTGCATGTCCATTACGAAACATAAGACTCCGGAGCATCTAGTTGGCAACTGCAATCTACAAACCCCAGCCTGTGACACAGAAAGTAATTCCAACACACAGGACCGTGTGTTCTTTTCAAGGCAAAAATGGGAACGACCTTTGGAGTAGTCACCAGAACTTTCAAACTAAGCCATGGTAGTGCTCCTCTGTGCAGGGGTGGGTGGGCTGAAGTGGGGTGGTAGGGTGTGGCAGGGAGGAGGCACCTGCCAGGTGTGTTTGCCTTTAGTTAGGGTGTTAGGATGGCGTTGATACGATGGATTGTGTGCGGGCTATGAGGTGGCGGCACTGTGCCAATGAGATGCCGGCTCCATAGGTGACTCCCATCTTTGGAAACCTGTAAGTCAGTGATGAAGATTTCATAAAAGCCATTGATAAATATTCTGTGTTCTAAATCAAAAATCAAAAGGTCAAAAGTCACTTGCACGACTATTGCTTTCCATGCAGAACCAGATGCACACTGTAGGACACTGACTACAATGCAGGCTCTTATGCAACATCTGCATTAGTCCTGTGGAGCTGTGAGTACATTAATAGGCTTCGTCAGACATCAGTTAACATTTTGGTAATATTCACATAGTTTGTGTTAGCCAATGTACAGTTGGCTGTTTTTAAGTTCTCCTCTCTAAAGTCCTCATTACTGTTGTTCACTCCCTCCTGTATCTCCATGTAATCTGACTTACTTATGGTAGAGGCACTTCTACTTTTCTTTAGGTCAGGGGAGGACGGGATCTTTGGACAGCTTGTCACTTGCAAGTACTGGGCCTGCTCCTCTCCCTCTGTCTCCCGGTGGTAGAAGTAGTTGAAATTAGACACTATGACAGGGACTGGTAAGGCAATGGTTAACACACCTGCAATTGCACACAGGGAACCCACTATCTTTCCCCCAATGGTAGTTGGAACCATGTCTCCATAGCCTACAGTTGTCATGGAGACGACTGCCCACCAGAAAGCATCCGGGATGCTGGGAAATTGGGACTCTCGCTCATCAGCTTCTGCAAAATAGACAGCACTCGAGAAGAGGATGACCCCAATGAAGAGGAAGAATATCAGAAGGCCCAGTTCCCTCATGCTGGCTTTGAGGGTTTGACCTAGAATCTGCAGACCTTTGGAGTGTCTGGACAACTTGAAAATCCTAAAGACTCTTACCAACCGGATGACACGGAGAATGGCCAGTGACATGGCCTGCTGGCCTTGCTGGGCGTCCTCCGGCTTCTCAGCTAACTCTGTCCCCAGGGTGATAAAGTAAGGTATGATAGCCACAATGTCAATGATGTTCATGATGTTGGTGAAGAAGCCAGCTTTGCTGGGGCAGGCAAAGAATCTCACCAGAAACTCAAAGGAGAACCAGATGATGCAGAGAGTCTCTACGATGAAGAAAGGGTCGGTGAAGGAGGTGGACTGCTGGTACCCGATGGTGCTGTTGGAGTAGGTGTGGAAGGTCACCCCACCACCATGCATGTCCTCATTCTCATCCCGGAAGATGGGCAAGGTTTCCAGACAGAAGCTGACGATTGAGATCAGAATGACCATGACGGATACAATGGCTATAATCCTGGCAGGCCCTGAACTCTCAGGATATTCAAAGAGAAGCCACACCTGTCTCTGAAACTCATTTTCGGGCAGAGGACGTTCTTCTTCTTTGATGTAGCCTTCGTCCTCCCGAAACATCTCCATCGCTTCTTCTCCTAGCTCATAAAACCGGATTTCTTCAGAGAATATATCTAAGGGCACATTCACAGGTCGCCTCAACCTGCCCCCAGACTGGTAGTAGTACAAGATGGCATCAAAGCTAGGGCGGTTGCGATCAAAAAAGTACTCATTTCGGAGGGGGTCGAAGTACCTCATCCGCTTCTTGGGGTCCCCTAAGAGGGTCTCTGGAAACTGGGCTAAGGTCTTTAGCTGAGTCTCAAACCTCAGGCCTGAGATGTTGATCACCACTCTCTCACAGCATTCGTGGTCTGCCTCTGGGTCATAGGTGTCCTGCGGGTGCCCAGGGAGGGCAGCAGCCTCATCCACCGGGTCTCCGGTAGCCACTGTCATAATTGGGGCTGAGGAGAGTGCTTTACTCTATGCCTCTTGCAGCAGGGGGCTCAGGGTGCTGGTAACTGGGCCCGAGGGAACGCAGAAGCATCAGGCTGTGCTCCTGCAGGAGAGCCCCAGAGCCCTCTGAGAGCTGGAGACGCAGCCTCGCTTGGCTGAAAGACAGAGGCAGGTAAGGGCATGAGACCGCCAGTCACTGGCAACCTGACATGAGCTGCATTTGACGTTCCCCATCTTTCAGCCAAGAGTTAAGAAAAACCACTAGCATAGCATCACCCCCGCCACTGACATTACTTTTGCCATGTAACTTGTCTAGGGATCAGTAGGGTTCAGGGAACAATCTTTCAATTATAGAATGACATACACTGGGAGCAGGTGACCGAGACAGGCTCTTTTGTACCACACAGCATCCTGGGACACAGCTCCATAGCAAGAGGCGAGAAGGGAGCCTTCTGCCAGGTACACGATGCTAATGTTTTGCCAACACCTGCAGCACAGGAGGTACTCATGGTAGGGTGTTTGGGGCCTGGGTCTTCGTCCCCATACCATCCCCAATACCTCTATAAGCTGTTATTAATGGTTTGGTTTACCTGGCCAGGCAGGCGCCTGCGGTTCCCTGAAGAACAGATGAGATGCTACAGGAATCCTAGATACACAGATAGGCAGCTCAGCTCCCTGTCACATCTTCTCACTTGAGCTGGGAATAATGGTGAGTCATCCTGAGCGGGAGGGCAGGTTCCAGGTCCTGGAGGTGTGCTCTAGGGCTGGATAGGGCTGGAGGGACAGACTAATGCCTGGCCAGGGGCATTCTGGACTTGAGAAGAGCAAAGTCTGGGTCTGAAGCCTTTGGAAGGAAGGAGGTAAGACACACAGCTCAACAAAAGCCAGAGTTCTCCTGGTTGTCCTCAGGAGGCGTGATGTTGCCTGGAAAACACAGCAGCAAGGTGGAAACCAGGGTTTTCTGGCAGCTGAAACCAAGACTTAGAAGCACTCTGGCAGATACCCTCTCTGCGAGTGGCAAACCCCCGTGCCTACTTTCCATGGTGTCAGTGACCGAGAGAACTACCCTGTACCCTCCTAGCTTCTCCTGGGTAAGCCTTTCTTCTCATCAGCTTGAAGTACTTTCTCCCCTTACTTCTCTGCTGCCACCAGGAGCGACCCAGCTTTCTCCATCCTGGTGTCAGAACACCTATCTCCCAAGGAGAAGGTTTTCCTTTTTGACCTTAGCTACGTAGGGTGAAGAAGCAATCCTTCCTCCCCAGCACACACTCTTTCCCAGCTTGAGAAAGACTCCCCCCTCCCCGCCCCCCCCCGCGGCGGGGGCCGCCGGCACACAGCCAGATAGCCTCTGTAAGAATGCTGGATAGCCGGGGTCGCTGAACTTACTCTCCCTCCGGGATCCCTAGGCCTCAGGCCTTGCTTTCGGTTGAGTGGCATTTGAGCTGGGCACGCACTCGACCACTGATTTCTTCCCAAGAGAAAATCCCTCACATCTCGGCAGGGAAGCACAGAACAAACGCTCAAGCTGCCAGGCTGCGAGGCGGATTGGCTTCTCGGAGAGGGGGAGCCTAGAGGAAGCTGGCTTCCGGGCTGGCCCCCCGCCGACCCAATCCCGCTGGCCCCAGTACCGGGAGGGGTCTGGGACCTCTCCCATCGCCCAGGGCTCCAGCCGGGATTCCGCCGGGCGCGCTCCCGCCGGAATCCGCGCGGCTGACCGGAGCCTGCAGCCGTCGGCCGGCTTGAGCGTGCCACCTTAACCCCTTCCTGCGCAGTGCAGTGGGCTCGCGCTGCGGGCCCGAGGACAGCCTAGCTGGAGCCTGCGAGGTCCAGCTTAGCGACCACCGAGGCACGTCTCCACCCGAAAACACACAAGAGCCTGAACTCTCACGGTGCAGAGCAGGCTTCTCCAGGCATCTGCCCCAGATCTAGCTTCCTCTTAGAAAAGGGGACTCCGCGGCAGCCCACCAACCACCCCAGCCAAGTGGAAAAACAGCGACTGCGGAGAAGCCTATTTGACTCCGTTGCCAAGAGGCAAATGCAACCGGGAGGACCCAAGTGATTCGGGTCCTATCCTACCCACCCACTATTTACCAGACATGGCTATGCAGTCAGCTGCACTTCCCATCACCCGCCACCTCCAATCTGCGCCCTCCGCCCTAAGTCACGCACAGACCACAGGGTCTCCGAGTCCATTCCATACACTCTTCAGAAGGGGAAAGTCCCCCTTCCCCACCCGCCGTGACCGGCGTGGGTCCATAACCCTTCAGGTCGACAGCAGGGGTCGGCACCAGCTCGCCCGCCCAGACTACCGGGGTGCCCTGCAGCCCCTCTGGGGCGCTGCAGCCGGGCAAGGATGGCAGCACGCGCAACCGAACGCCGGACACTGATTTACCCTTGCAGATGGGTATCCGAGTCTCCATGTTCCTGGGTGACAGCCAGGGCCGGCAGAATCCGAGCAGCGGGCGGTGACGG